GAATAACCTTTTTTCAAAATGTTCTCCTTTTGTGAAAAATGCTTCTAATATAATAATATTTTGCCTGTTTACAGCTCAGACCTCTGTACAGAGGCTCAACTATGATTTTTGAAAAATTCACATTATTTTCAGAGTTACGACCCATTGAAATAATTATTGGCGTTTTTTTCTGAAAATTTCTGCCCTCTGTTGACGTAAAGTATGGATAAATCCACTTCTAATATATATATTTCAAAAATTCTAGTTGAACCTCTGTACAGAGGTCTGAGATATATACAGGCAAAATATTATTATAATAGAAGCATTTTTCACAAAAGGAGAATATTTTGAAGATGGGTCATTCTATGTTCATTTTTTGTCAAAATATTGTACTTAAATAAATTTTTTTTTTTTGTAATACTATTCTTAAAACAATTTTATATGCATTTTCTAATCTAAGTGACACTAAATATCATAAATGTTATCCATTTATACGTTTTTGCAAAATCACGGTTCCGAACGTAGTCGGATACCTTAAAATGAGTTTAATTTTGACTTTAAAAAAGTTGCACACTGTATAGTAATCCTGAATTTAAAAGAATGTCTTACATTGGTTAAATGCGAAATTATTAATATTTTCAATATTATATATATGTGCTCAATTTTGCAGCAATGAAGGTCTTTGCCTTCTAATTACTCTGAAATATTAATTATTTTTAGATAAGAATTTTTTTTAAAAAAAGAATTAAAGCTATAAGACACAAATTTAACAGGAGGAAATGAAAAAAGAGAAAGAAGTCTTTACTCTAATGTGCAATTTGTGATCAGTTGATTACTTTCATTAGTATTATATTTATTAGTATCATGGTAAGTCAAGCAAATACTTGAAAGATAATTTTTCAGAATAGAAATGATTAATTCTGTACGAAGAATTTTGATGAAAATATTATACATTCATAGAAATAACTTTCGATACTTTTTCTCATAGCTATACAGTTAAATTATGTAGCGAAGGAAAACACACACATTACAATAATTAAGAATAAATATAATTTTAGTCAATTACCGTAATTTTAGCGTATGTTCTTGTGTGAGCATAATAACTATCGTGAAGAGGTTATATATAAAATAAACATGAATCTTTATTTTACACTTGTATAAATTATATTGCTTCTTAATGTTATTTTAATATTTTTGGTTAGATTTAAATTAAGATATTGCTACATAAAATCTCAAATTTTAAGATCAATTTTTTTGAAGAGCTAATATTAAGAACCGAATGTAAATTATTCCGAAAACATTGATAACTAATATGTCAGCTTGTATTTTTAAAAACTGGCTTTTCTCTTATCCTTATGAGCCTTGTAATATATGAGCCGTTTTCTTTAAAAGTGGTGTAAGTCCATTTTTGACAAAAAGGTAATTATGAAATTGAATGCAATCTGCTGTGAACTTTTTATCTATGAACTGTTCCCCCAAAACTCCTTCAAAATTTTCACCATTTCGTCAATATAAATTTATGTAGGTAGTTAATGAAATTACAATTATAGAGTTACTTTGAAAGTGGTAAATATCTCCATATGAAATGGACTTACACCACTTTCAAAGAAAACGGCTCATATATAATAGTGTAAGCCCATTATGAATACAATAATAATGTTTTAGTGATTTTTATTTTTGCGATAATTAATAATTTCAGTTGCCTTACGCAATTTTGCGTAA